CTCTCTCTCTCTCTCTCTCTAAGTTTAGGAGTCCAGTCTGTCGGACATTCAGACCCGGCCAGACGGGCCTTCCAAAACTTGTCCACTGCGCCTGAGACCAAGCACGCAACTGTGTGCCACATCAGTTTCATGTCGACCCGCCTGCGAAACAGGAACCTCGTCTGGCAGCCTGTCCGAGTGCGAGAGGGTAGAGTCCCCAAGCCCCAAGCATTTCGCAATTCCGAGGTGCTTAGGCGTGGGGGTTTTTGCTTATCATCTCTAGCCCTGGCCTTTGACCTGCTAAAAGGTCATCAAGCTGGCAGCGGGCACGGCTGTGCAATACTACACCTTTTCCGGCATGGCCTCTTGCCTCACGCTTCGTTTTCGTGGGGGGTTGGTCTCTACCACCACGGTTTCATGTTGCAGTCGAAAGGTTGTATGCTTGTGGAATCGAAGTCGAAGGCCCACATTGTATGCTGCCTGTCCCTCTGCGGCTAAGCCTTTCGCTGTCCCAAGATTCCCCGATGCAGACGGCAAGCCTAAGCCCTCGCAGCTCTCAGCCTCCGGGGGTTTGGGGTCCACAGCCCACAGCCCGCTGCGAGGATATGTGCTACCGTTCCATGGGCATCTTGGCATCGCGAGTCGAGGTTTCGTGGGAGATGCTAGGACGGAACCCGACAACCGAAGAACACAGACGCAGACTGAGCTGAGGGTTGGGCATCGGAGGCCGCTGTTGTAAAGCAACATCCTCACCAACCCTGTTTTCAGGCAACTGTTCGATTGCCTATTCATGCGCGGTGGGCCTCTGGTGCTTCATCGAGCGGCCGCTTATGACCCTGACGACCGCAGGACGCCTTGGAGCCTCCTGGCCCACCCTGAAACTCCGGAGCCCAAAGCTCTCCCGTGTTGGGCATCTGGGGCCGCTTTGTCAACTTTGAGGGCTTCCAGGTCTTGTCTTTTTTTTGGTTCGTCAACCTGAAAACCGAGTTTGGTGCAACAATTTTTTCTTTGCGCGTCGACGGCAAGAGTATGAAGGTACAAAGTTAGGCTTCCCCGAGGTGCCCCGTAGCCGCGGGTGAAGTTGAAGTAGGGAAGATTGGCCCCTGAAGTCCTCCTCATTCTCCTCAAAAGAGGCAGAGGCGTCAGAAATCGTCAGAAACACACATAATTCCCATAGGTCTGATGGTTAGGCCGGCTTCTGCATGGGCACGTTTACCGGCTCTCCTAGACCCTGGTGTCAGAACCGTGGGCCTTCATCGGAAACAACAAGCGATATCTCCCGTCATGAAGAAGGTGCTCAACCGTTGTTCCTCGGCCGGCGCATGGCTGCGGTTGTGCTTCTTCTGCTCTGTACCATTCTCCTTCGTCAGTCAGAGAGCACCTTGCCTTCTAAACTGCAGAACCGAGCCTCAACCTGAATTGTAGAAGCCTGTGACCGGATGGAGTCGCGCAGGACTGCGCAAGCCCCGCGCGACCGGCGACCGGAAGGGCTCTGCATCCTCGCCGCTGGTGGAGAACGGGGTGCCGCGCGGGGGGAGTGGTTGATCCGATGGCCGTTGAGAATGAATTTCTTTGACGATGATGACTTTGGCCCGTGAAGCATTGTCATTTACTAGGCTTGTTCTGTTGTCAGAACAAACTCTGTAGACACTTATCCTTCTAGAAAAAAGTTCAGAATGACCACCACGACCACCACGACCACCGTGACCATCACGACCACCAGGACCATCACGACCACCAAAGACAGACGGCGGCGACCACCGCGACCGCCACAAGCAGCGCCGCCGAAAAGGGCACGACCACCATGACGACCACGACAGGCACAAACACCCCGACAGCGACCAAAACTACAAAAGGGACAACGAAACCGAAACCGATGCAGACGAGAGGAGCGGCGACGACGATAACGACGACGACACGACAACGAAGGCTTTTGCTTGGCTAGGGTCATGCTGCCGCTGTTAACCTGTTGGTGTTTGAGGTTCTGAACATGATGTTGATGCGGTTCCTTTACTGGCAGATTGAGAACGGTTGTCTGACTTATCGTTGGGGGGTTGATTGACTCGACTACCTGGGTAGCTACATGATAAATTCGATAGATATGAGGCCCGGGTGCTTCTCTATGATGGGTTTCTGGTCCCCTGCTCCGTGGACCTCGACTACCAAGCCAAACCAGTTCTAAGTCGCTCTAGACTCAAAGTCTCGGACTCTTGGGGTTTAGGGTTCGTCGTGCAGGCCACGCCATCGAGCCCTGAAAGCCAGCCGACGACTCGGAGGGGTTAATTGCTTTGCTTGCGGTCGTCTTTCGAGTCAAGCGCCTTACGCAGATGGGAACAGCAGCTGTGAGCAAGACGGCGGTCTTTCTGGTTTTTGCTTTTTGCCGCAGATGGGAACAGCAGCTGTGAGCAAGACGGCGGTCTTTCTGGTTTTTGCTTTTTGCCTTTGTTGGGACATAACGAGAAGCAAGAGCCCCAGGCGGGGAGCCATCATGTAGGCCACAACCGCAGCCAGTTTGGCTCAAGAACCACGTAAGACTTCCCAGCTCCATCATGGCTGCCGATAGCGCGCCGGTGATGGAAGATGCAGCATCGACAGAGCAGGTGCTGCCCGTCCTGCTGGGACGCAAGCCCGAGGCGGATGTGGAGATGGGCAAGGTCGGAGCAGAGGATGCGAAAGCCCTCACCGTGAAGGCACGCCAAGAGAGCGCCAGCCTCACCACAAACTTGAAGTACTGTGAGAAGATCGTTTTGGGCGTCGGGGTTTTGTTCGCCCTGGCTGCTGGAGTTTCAACACCAGCCATAGCTATGTTCACGGCAGACAGCATCCAAACGCTCACGATCGCGGGGACGGACAAGGAGCACATGCTGGACAGCATGGCCCCGACTCTCGTCAAGATCGGGGTCCTTGCGGTCTTGCAGTTCGTGTTCGCGTTTGGATGGCAAACCTGCCTGGCATGGGCCGCGGCGAAGCAGGCAATTCGTTGGCACAAGGGCTTCCTCGAGGTCTTGTTCTGCTTGGATGTAAGCTGGTTTGACGAGCACGAACCGGCGGGCGTGGCTGCCCGACTGGAGACCGACATCGCAAATGTCTACATGTTCATGTCCACGGCGCTTGGGTACCTCATCTCGAGCATTGGCCAGTTCGTGGCGGGCTTGTCGCTGGCCTTCGCCACCGGTTGGCAGCTGTCGTTGGTGGTCTGCGCCACGATTCCCATCCTCGTCTTTGTGGGGCATCGCATGGGCAAGGCCATCGAGCAGCAGTTCTATCTCCAGCAGGCGGATTTTGCCCGAGCCTCCGCTGTGGCAGAGGAGTCCCTGATGGCCATCCGCACCGTTGCTGCCTTCGGGGCCGAGAAAACCGAGTCGGCCCGCTTCGAGAAGGAGCTTCTCTCGGCAAAGTTGGGTGGAATTCGCTCCGGAGTCAAAATCGGCGGCGCCTGGGGTGCCCTGAACTTCTTTTATTCCTGCCTCTATGGCCTCTCGCTTTGGTTCGGTGGCCACGTGCTCCTCTCGGACAAGGATGCCGGCTTCGATCCCAGCGATATCGTCACCGTGATGATCGCCATGATGGTGGGCGTGTCAGGGCTCAGCTCTTTCAGCGGTTTCGCGCCGATGATGGCCAAAGCCTACGTCTCGGCCAAGGCGATGAAGGAGGTGATGACAGCAGATGCACGCAGCATCGAGCAGCCGCTCTACACCCAGCAGCCGCTCCCCGAAGATCTGAGCACCGTGGAGACTCTGGAGTTTCGGAATGTGAGCTTCAAATACCCGACTAGACCGGACAAGTTGGTCCTGAGCAACTTCAACTTCCGGGTGCTAAATGGCCAAAAGATCGCCTTCGCCGGCGAGAGTGGATGTGGGAAGAGCACCACGATCCAGCTGCTGGAGCGCTTCTACGATCCATGTGCTGGCGAGGTTATGGTGAATGGGATGAACCTGAGCCAGGTGCCCGTGAAGGCTTGGCGCAAGCTGATCGGGTACGTTGGGCAGGAGCCGGTGCTCTTCGCCACCAGCGTCATGTCGAACCTGAAGGCTGGGGACCAGTCCATCAGCGATGAGCAAGTTTACGAGGCAGCCAAGGCTGCGCAGATCTATGAGACCCTGATCAAGCTGCCGGAGGGCTTCGACAGTTTCGTCGGATCTGGAGGTGGGATGCTGTCGGGAGGCCAGCGCCAGCGTGTTGCGATTGCTCGCGCTCTGGCCAAGAATCCACAGATCCTGTTGCTGGACGAGGCCACCTCTGCCTTGGACAACGAGTCCGAACGAAAGGTGCAGGCGACCTTGGACGGCCTGAGCTCTGTGATGGGCCGAAGCATCACCACCATCTCCATCGCGCATAGGCTCACCACCATCAAGGGCTCGGACGTGATCTACGTGCTCAAGGACGGCCGTTGCTGCGAGCAGGGTTCGCATGAAGAGCTCATGGAGAGGCAGGGCGAGTACTACAGCATGGCCAAGTTGCAGCAGGCCCACGCTGAGGAGCCCGAGGAGGAGACGACGATGACCCCCGCGCCGGCTCCGCGGGCTGGCACACGGTTTGGCATGCAGAAATCGATGTCGATGCTGCGCCGCAGCGGCTCAGTGCTCAGCTTTTTGGAAGGGGCCTTCGACATGATGGATGGGGACCTACGAGAAACGCCCCGCATCTGGGGCAGACTCTTCGGGCTCATGAGGCTTTACTGGTGGGTCTGGCCAATTGCCTTTGTGATCATCGTGGCAGAAGCGGCCGGCGCGCCTCTCGAGGCCATCTTCTTCAATGGCGCCATCATGTCACTCTTCGAAAGCGTCACGGAGGGCCTGGATGCCATGTACCCCAAGCTGGACCAGGCGGTCCTGTGCCTGCTGCTCGTCGGTCTCGGCTCGGGCGTGGCCACGCTGTGTCAGAATGCCCTCTTCACCTACCTGCAGGAGTGCTTGTGCATGATCCTGCGAAAGATGGCCTTCGCGTCCACCATCAAGATGGACATGGAGTTCTTTGATGCCCCGGAGAACCAGACGGGGAGCATCCTGGTGTCCTTGGAGAGGCACATGAACCGTGTTGGGCAGATGCTGGGCATCCAGCTTGGCAACTCCACCGGCGCCATCTTCACCTGCCTCATCAGCATTGGCTTGAGCTTCTCCGGATCCTGGGTGCTGGCCTTGATTCTCCTTGCCTTGATGCCCATCTGTGGGGCGCTGGGCTTGGCCGTGGCCTCCTGCGCCGCCCGCGTGGAGCAAAAGGGGGAGGATGCCTACGGCAAGTCGGGGAAGGGGACGGCTGAAGCAGCGACGGCCATTCGAACCGTGAGGGCACTGGGAGCCGAGGAGCACACCTTGGAAATCATCAACGAGTCCTTGGATGTCCTCACCGAGGTGAACACGACGAAGTCCTGGAAGCTGGGGGTATCCCTGGGCCTGAACATGTGCATGATCCAGGTCATCTATCTGGCAGGATTCGGGATGAGTGCCGCCTGCATTCAGTACTGGAATTTCGATGCCCATCAGGTGCTTAGGACTCTCTTTTGCGTCGTCTTTGGCGTCATGTCGGTGAGTTCCATCGTGCAGTACATCCCTGACTCCGCCTCCGGCCACCATGCGGCCATGGAGGTCTTCCGCCTCATCGACCAGGTCTCCAAGATCGATGCCACAGAGCCGACCGGACACATCGAGAGCATCGGAGACGGCTCCATTGAGTTCAAGGATGTCTACTTCCGGTACCCCCACCGGCCCGACGCGAAAGTGCTCCAGAAGCTCAACTTCACCATTGAGAAAGGTCAGGCAGTCGCCCTGGTAGGCTTCTCCGGCAGTGGCAAGTCCACCGTGATCCAGCTACTTCAGCGATTCTACGACCCGCAAGTGGGTTCCATCCAAGTCGGCGGCCAGAACTTGCGGGACTTCAACGTGGCATTCTGGCGCAAGCAGATCGGCATGGTAGGACAGGAGCCGGTGCTCTTTGATGTCACCTTGGAGGAGAACGTGAGGTATGGCTTTCCTGAGGCCACAGATGAGCAGGTGAAGGATGCAGCTAGAGCGGCGAACATGGACTATGTCTTCACGGGATCTGTGAAGTGGAGCGACCGAGTCGGGCTTCGAGGAGAGAAGTTGTCCGGTGGCCAGAAACAGCGCTGTGCCATTGCCAGGGCTCTCCTGCGTCAGCCGCAGTTCATGCTTCTGGATGAGGCGACGAGTGCCCTGGACTCTACGTCCGAGCGCCTAGTGCAACAGGCGATGCAGGAGGCCAGGGTGGGGAAGACCACGATCACGGTGGCTCACCGCCTCTCCACGATTCAGAACTCGGACTAGATCTTCGTGATGGCCAGTGGCCAAGTCGTGGAATCAGGCACCTACCAGGAGCTCATCCAGTTGGATGGAAGCTTTGCAAAGCTGGCGGCCCGCAGTTTGTGATTTCCCGAGTCTTCTTTTCCAAATTTCCCGTCCTGTGGGTTCCCCCAGGGCTTGTTTTGACTCATGATTATGAATCTTATAGCCTTGCATGTGTTCGTGCTGAGCAGAGCTTGTGCGCGAATGTGCCGTGCGGCTGACGGGAGACCTTGAGCCCGCGAGAGAGCGAGGCTAGTCTTGTGATCCGGCACAGGCTGCGGATTGCGCCAGTCGATAGGCTAGTCAGGAAAAGTTAGTTGGATAAATTTGTATTTGCAGCTGTGGTGCTTGATCGTGAGCAAGGTCATATCACACGCTTGGCAGAAGTCTAGGCTTACTTAGAGACGGTGGAGGGCCCTTGTTTTCGCCATGAGGTTGGACGGCATTTCAGAATCGAACGGCGGAATTGTAGATGAGTAGACGCTGGACACAGTGACCGAAGCAATAATGGAAAGGTAAAAAAAGCAAAAGCATAGATTTAATTTAGCATCGGCATATGTCCGACTGGTTACCGATGGCGAAGATCATTCGGCGAACCGCCACTGCACGGTGTAATCTCCAGAATTCGCGTGGAACCGGGGCCCAGCAATGAATGTGGCCCCGGCCGCATCTCTGCTTCGAGGACAGCAGAAACTGATGGCCATGACGGTCCTGCCTGAATCCTGACCTGCTTTCCGAGGGTGCATGCTTGACTCAACCCTTGATTCTTCGGTCTTCCTCGAATCCTCGGGCCCCCAAAGCTGGAAATCCGCTCCGAGGCCGCAGGCATCCGGCTCCGGCGCCTGAGGGGAGGGCGAACAAAACGAGCCGCGATTGTCTAGACGCCTGCGGCTATGTCGCTGTCCGGGAGCGAGGCGAGGCCGTCTCTGGGGAGCGAGATCGCTCTCTGGCTTTAGTGGGGTCCCGGCAAGTGCTAATTCCCGCAGAGGTTGCATAGCTCAGATGTCCGTTTCGGCATAAAGCTCCATCCAAGCGGAAGTTAGATGAATCATGCAGCAACCATTAGAATGCAGGCTCGCGGGGGGACCTTGCTTCTGTTGACGGAGGCTGTTGGCACGTGCACTTGGTACTGCCAACATGCCACAATGCATGATAGGGTTAGGGGGATTCGAATCTTAGCTCTGTTGCGGGCCTTCTTGTGTGGAAGCTCGTCTGTTTCGGAAATCTGGCAGGCACCCGGAGCAAGAGCATAGGCTCCGTCGTCTCCAGAACGGTTTTAGACTGGTATGTTGACAGCTACTTGGCCATGACATTGGCACGACCACAGAAACTGGGCACCGTCGCTCAGTTGTTACGACTACTATAGCATTCCTACTCTGCCTGCATTGCTTGCAAGCTTCAGTTGCATCAACTGGACCCCGAACCCAACACCGGAAATGCCGAAGTGGTCATGCGGATCGTTACTCAGAGAAGGCAACACCCTGCCACCCTGTCAGCCTATAGTTGTGTCGCTGCATTTGGTGGCGGTTGTCGGAGCGTTGGAGTTGTGGTGCCTGCCGGAAAGCACAGCAAAATCGCTGTGTCACTCAGAATGTCCGTATTGCGTGCAGGCCTCTCAGAATCAGAGGCGTTCCTAAACTGTGTAGAGTTTTTCAGGAACACTCAGCAGAAGGATTCTCGTTGTCAGTGTTGGGGTCTTTTTGGTTGGGAGGTTAATGCGAAATTACTGTGCAGCGTTCATGACGGTTGGCAAGCGTAAGCGTTGACGGGGTCTGGTTAAGGGAGAATGCCACCCAGCATTCACCGGTGCGGAATGCTCAAGCAAAGGGGCAAGTTGTTACGTGGGGAAGTTTTATGTGAGGCGGGTCGAGGCGAGTCGTGTAAGGATTCTGGAATTTGTAGACGTATTTGGCTGCGTAGCTTCTACCAAGTTATTGGCTCCCCCCACAGATGTCGATGACCTTAATAATAGTATAGTAGTAATCATAGTAATAATAGTAATAAAAGTAATAATAGTAATAATGATGTTAATAATAGTAATAATGTTAATAATAGTAATAATAGTAATAATGGTAATAATAGTTTTAATAATAATAATAACAATAATCATAATAGAAATCATGGAAGGTGGCTTTGGAAAGGCTCATGGCTTAGAGTCTGAGAGGAAGCAGCAGGACGTCTTCCACGGGCCGTGTGAGGTCCGCCAGCGCACAGATACACCCGCCAAGGTCATGGTCGAAGCGCTTGTAAGCCTTAGTCAGTTGTTTTGAGTCAGCTTTCATCTTACCTCTGAAGCATGAAGCCCTGACCCTGATAGAGGGGCTTTGGAGGTTGCACTGGCGCTGTTTGAGTTTTGAGCTCCCACGGACACCGGAGCCTGGCAACCCCGGGCTGGCACAGCGCAATCTAGAATCGTTCCTGATGAAAACGTCGCAGGCTTTTTATGAAGTTTCAAACTTCAACTCCTCCGAACCCTGTATGTAAACTTCGCGGAAGCCCCGAAGTATCTCGACTACTCTGACTGCCTTGGTGGCTGCGAGAGAGATGGAGGGGAACTGAGTTGCTTTGGCTCTAGATTCCTAAGGCTGTTGACGACATAAGCTTGGGGGCGTGGTGTATTTCATGTCCTTTAGTAATTAGTGCTTCCTGACAGAAGAGCTGAACGACTTAGTGAGGCTTTTTGTCGGAAGAGTCCTTTGGCCATCACAGCTTTTGCACTGCACCCTTGGCCTCGTAATCCAATCGTCTAAACGGCCAAGGCTTCCTGTTACGATTCCCTGCCCTCGACACATGCACGATCCGAACTCGCATGGGCAGCTCCGTTTTTGTCCACTTGTTTGCTTGTCCAACGCTTGAAATGCTTCCGTAGTCGTCAGCGCTCAAACGCCTACATTCTATCACGACAGTCTTCGTCCATGCTTGTGGGTTTCGGGGATGTGGTGAGGAGTTCGCCTGTACTCTGAACCGCAGTCGCTTGGAATGATTCTGTCGTACGACTGATCGCAGTTGCATGGTTTTTGTTCGGCTTGTTCGGCTGATGGCAGTTGCAGAGATCGGGTTCGAGGAAAACTAGTTACGAGTGTTGTCTTTCTGGTTTCGATTCGGCGCTTCGCGGAACTTTTTGGATTTCTCCGTTGCAGCCATGGCGCTGAGGTTCCACTGGATCAGGTCGGACGTCCCCCAAACAGTGCGCAGCTAACCCTAGCCCCTAAAAAGGCACTAAAGTCACTCGCTCGTGTCGCTGGGTGTGGGCAAGGCCGCCAGGATTTCGGACTTGAGTTTTTTTGCCTGTAGCCCTCTCCAAGGGCCCCGCATAATCAATGGATGTGAAACACAGTTGAAATAGAAGTGAAATGCGAGATTCAAGTGACCTGAGAGGTTAAAGATCTATGAGGACCCACGCCTGTAAGAAGACTACAAAGGCTTTTCTTCGGAGTGGTGGGGTGGGTGTCCAGGGAGATGAAACAAGGCATTCGGGCCCGTCTCCGCCCGTCTCTCGTGCTTCGTCTCTCTCTCTCTCTCTCTCTCTCTCTCTCTCTCGTCCAACGTTGCATACAACTTCAGGGTTTCAGGTGTCGAGAGGTCCAGAGGTTCAGTCTGACCTGCCAAGTGTGCCACTGGCGATGGTCATCGCCACGGCGTATCTTTTCTACGCAGCTTCACTGCATATCTACGGTCTTTAGTCAGGGCGAGGCGTTTGCAAATTTGTGCGGTTGCCTGGGCTGAGACGGTTGTGACGGGGGCTCCGCAACTGCTGGTCTTGGCAGTATATGGATGCAGTGCACTGCACCGGTTGTGTGCTGGTGTGGAATGGTGGTGACTGCGTTGCGATGTGTCCCGGCTCCTGGTGGTACAGTTTTCTGCCCAAAGTTATGATGCTGCCTACTCCGTGGCAGGTCGGTTGGGGTATCGGAATTCCGTAGGTACGGCTTCGCAAGTCGCCATCACAAGCCCAGGTCGCTCAGTACAAGCCATCGCAGAAGAAGGTGAAGCTTCTGCAGGCGCGGACTTTGCCCTGCTTCTTCCGAGGAAGCAGGGGGTTTGTGTTTCAAGTGGTAGCAGGGGAGCCTGCAGACCCCGTTTCTGCGAGTCCGAGCTACTCGAAGCTTGGAGTCGCAGAGGCCGAGAGCCCTGGAACTGTTTATAACATGTAGTTTACCAACCTAGTGCAACCATAACTGATTATAACCTCACATCACATCTCGCATTCAAAGCCTTCAGGATGCAAATGTGTTTCGGACTTCCCCCCCAAAGCATTGAAGATCTGAAGGTGGCGGCGAAGTCCGAAGCCCGAGCAGTAAGACTATCTCAATGCTCCTTTCGATGGCCCGACAGGAGATGGACATGAAGGTCACTCACAAGCCAGCAGAGTGCTTTCTCCAAGCAGGCACGCATCCCGAGCAGTTTGGCTACCGGGGGCCTTTGAATCCGTGAGGGCTTGAGGATTCGATTGACAAAGGACGGTGTTGGTGGCAGTGCGTGTTTGCAGCGACTGGGGATCGCAGAGTTTGATGTCGGATCCAGGTTCTGCAAAACATGGCTGGGGCTCAAGAGTCGTCCAGGCTCATGGACAGACACGACACATCTCAGCAGGCAGAACTTCTATTGTTGCAATAGCACCTAGCCACGTCCTCAGAACGCATAGTAATAATAGTAATAATATAAGAATAATAGTAATACTAGTAATAATAATAGAATCATGTTTGCAGCAGGCAGAGCGTCGAACCTCAGAAAGCAGAGCCTCCCTTGAGCGCTTGGATGGAAATGTCATTCGATCAGGACGATGAGGATCAGCAGCTTGATGAGGCGGCAACTGCGATCATGTTGAGGCGCTTACCATGCAAGTTGATGATCGACAGCTTTCTGGAGATTTTGAACCAGTTCTGGCCAGGCCGCTACAATTTCGTTTACGTGCCCCATGACAAGTCACGGGCACGGAATGTGGCCTTGGCCTTCGTGAATTTCACGGACAGTGAATCAGCTAGGATGGCATATGCGTACTTTCAGGGACGCGCCCATCCGATGGACATCCGCCTTGGTCGTCACATTCGTGTTTGTCAAGCAGACGTCCAAGGACTCAATCTCAACCTGGCATATTTTATCGCCAGGAGTGGCTTCAGCGACATGGGTAATCCCCATGCGCCTCGAGTCTTCGAGAACGGTCGGCGTATCGACCTAGTGGAGGCTGTTCAGAAGCACGTGACCATGCAACTTGTGGCACAGGCAGGTCGGCACATGAAGGCCGTCGACGATGTCCGGGCGAGAAGAGAGGCACCGAAGGACCGTCGCAAGGATGCCTCTGTGCCGCTTGTGCCACAAGCTCCCGGACGGCATGCTTGGCATTCAGACCAGGATGACAGCAGCGGATCGTCGACCCGGCGGCGAGCTTCCGAAGATGGGACCGATCCCAGCGGCGGCAGCTCTTCGAGCCATTCGACGGGACGACGCAGTCGTTGGGAAGGTCTTGAACCACTCTTCGATTCCGGCCTAGCAGCGGTACAACCCGACGGCTCCGTCCATTTCTTTCTCTAATTGGGTTGGCCCCAGGCCCGTGTCCATTCGTGCCCGGGATTCTTTCCTACTGTTCGATGAACAACGCGTCTTGGACACAGGCTGCTGGGTGGGTCGATGTCGCATTGCAAGAACTGACACATTGATGATAAGGCACCGTGCGAGTTCAGAGAATTCCGTGGTGCCCCATCACATCATCTCCGGTTTAGGAGAACTTTGTCAACATCTCTGACCTTTTCTCCCTCCTCGAAACCCCTCCACCAGTTCGCGAGCTGCAGCTTCGGTCCTATCACCGAGGCAGTGGCGCTGAATACACATTTCTCATATTTTTGCAGCTGTGTTTGCAGGTTTGACACACAGCCTGGTGTCCATGTGAGTACCCATCCTGTCGAATTGTCCTGTTCAAAAGCGGGATGACATGACATAAGTTCGGCAAGGTTGTTTGGATTCTGTGAGTTGGCCTACAATAGGGTGGAAGATCACGCATGGACTGTGATCGAGTGCAATCGCAGCACTGGCGAGCAGCCACGCACAGAACCACAATACAGATGAGTGGTTGCAGGAGTTGCAGTGACGTTGTGGGGTCAGATTGAAGGCTGAAGACTCTGCACCAACACAGCAGTGCCTTTGGTTTTGCATCCTCCGTCACGGAGTCCCAAAAAGCAGCGAAGAGCGTCTTGACCCCATGACTCCTAGGCTTCCGGGCACAAGAGCGCTTCCTTTACGCACGGAAAAAGTGCTGCAGCCTTTCTGTCCCAGAAGTCCCAGAAGCTGCTAGAAACGCATCCGGAAGCCCTGGAAGGAGACGGTGACCTGGTCCATGTCCACTACACCAGCCGCTGGGATCAGTTGAGCTTTGAAGCAGCTTCGGGCGAGGACTTAATTTAGGCTCAGAGTGCGCGGGACATCGCGGGACTGTTTGGCGGCTACTGCGCAATCCTGACCGCTGATGATTTGTGATGCTTTGGCGAGAAACTCATGCATACGAAGAGAATGACATGGACCACCGCGGTGATGCTGATGGTGGTCCCTGAACCCTAAGCCCTAAACTGTTTTCCGTCCCCATGCGGGAGGCGAAATATCTAAGAACCCCGGGCAAGGACCCCCCTCGCTTCAGGTTTCCTCAAAAAGGAGGGGGCGCAGTTCGAAAGTACTAGGGGCGGTGATCCGTTCCTCTCTTGCAATCCGGGGTTCACGGACGGGCAAGGCGGTTTTTTTTGTGGGGCGTTGAGGGTTGATGATCCTGTTCAGGCTTGTGGTGTTTGAGTCGCGGTGTTATGTTCTGGCATAGTCCTGCCGGGGCAGATATATTTCTTTTGAGGCTGGAGTTCGTGCGGAAATCCATGCCTTCACCTTGAGATCTAAATTCGCAGAGTCTACATGTGAGCCTTCCGCTATCCTGGACCGTCTAGTGTACACCGGTCAAAAGATGAAACACCTCGTCTTGGGCCATAGAACTGTTACGAACTCATCCAGCCTCGCCGAGTTGCGAGCGGCAAGAGGAGGATTAGCGGTCCACGTCCCCTGAGCCGGAACATCGCCCAAAGCCCTAAACTGGGTCCCTGAAATTCACTGCGATACTGCCGCACACTATCTTAAAGACGTGCTTCCGTTGCCTTTGCTTAGCATTAATGTGCTTTCGGAAACAGAGAAGTTCCGAAAGGTTAGCCAGGCGGCTGGCTTCCTAGTGTGTCGTGTGTCCCTGTGTTTCATAATTTAGTTCGGTCCGTTTGTTTGTAAAGACTGCACGAAACAAGAGCCGAAAATAATGTCAACACACAAGGACCACAACTAGATGACAGTGAATTCTTTGCTCCTGCTGTACAGGATGTGCGGTTACAAAAGTAAAGGCAAACGGCGTGCGTTAGTTTACCTTTTTCGACCTGACAGACACACACACACACATACGGCAGCTGTTGAGACGTATGTGTGAGTTTCAGTGCATTGGGAGGTATGTGTTCAAGTTGGGCAAGTGCAAAGATCACTCCAAGCCTGAGTGCATGAAGGGCTTTCAGTCCGCCCTGTCGCGGTCTCAGCATGGGGGTTGTGTTGTATGTGCCGCGAGTTTTCGGGCGTTAACTTGTTTCTTTTTGTTTTTTCTGGTTTTGGGTGCTGTCGGCCAAGTCTGTTGCCCGGGTTGTGGTTTGGAGTTGTGACGGCTTTTGGCCATGAGGCCTAGGCTTCTACATCGTAGGTCGGCTTTAGTGCTTTAAGGTTCGGGCAGATTTTGGTTCTGCTGACACGACCTATCCAAACCCTACGATTGGCTATGGGGGCGACCGAGTATGCAAAATGCGAGAGGCCGGCCATCCTAAGTGTAGAAAAAAAGTGATGCGAACTCTCCTCAACCCACTCCTGGATCTTCAGCATAACTCGGACTGCCGGGTTTAGGGTTTAGACCTGCGCTTCAGAGTGTGGGCGGAATCGCCCGCTTCCTGTACTGTCTGCAGACCCGGCCTGGATGTCCGAAGGCCGCAGAACGCCCTCAATCCTAAAGCCCTAGCCCGCACAATGTGCTCGTCCGAGCTAGGTGGGAGGCAAAGCCCTATGCCCAAAAACGGAAGCCCAAAAACTTCCATGAGGCTGGGCATGTGCGCCGGGGAGAAGCGGAAGGAATCGACCCGAGCCCGCTGATAGTATAGTGAAGCATGAGAGAAGAGAGTAGAGTAGAGTGTAATGTCGTGAAAAATCATGAACAGTATTATATAGGACATAGTATGTGTATTTTCTTGGAATAAATTTGAAAGGGTATATAGTACTTGTCAGTTCCACATACGAGTAGTATTTGTAAGCCCAGGAGTGTTGCCAGACGGGTTGTGGGTACAGTAGGGATTCGGGTGTAGAGTTTCGGGTTCAAGGATTTCGGGGTTGGCTTAGTGCATTGCAGTCCCTGTTAAAAAAACGGTTGGGGGGTTCAGGGCTTGTGGGGTTGTGTGTTGAGCTCCTGTTCTCAGATTAGTCAGAGCATCCACCTTCGCCACAAAAAATTGAAGCGCCATGGGTACTGTTTACCAGGTGCAGGACGACAGCTTGTTCTATTCCATTAATTGCTGCTAAGTTGCGTCACTGTACCCTCGAAGATAGCGATGCGTACCACTCTCATTGTAGCTCGAATTCACAGCTGTGCGAAATCCAGTCTCGGTTTTGGGCCACAACACAGCGCGTGGCTCACCTCTTCAGTTGGTGACTGTCCGACGCTACCATGTCTCAAGCTCCGGTGACCTTTGAATATGGGGTTGCGGTTGGGGGTGTGGCCTCGCCGATTTCAGGGCCATTGGCAAAGGATCGAGTAGAGCCCTCCTCTTGCCAAATGAAACTAGGGACCTGTAGCAGCAATTGCTACTGGCAATACTGATGATTGTAATACTACTGTTGCTAATATGGTAAACTACAATAGCCACACTGGGCCGTTGAAGCGGGACGTTTCTGGGCTGTCAGAGCACTGTGCAATCTGGAGGCCACCGTCCCGCCCAAGCTCGGTTTCGACAAGAAGGTGGTGTTGTACGTTTGTATTGATTTCAACAAGCAGCAAGCAGCAACAGCAACATGCCGCGAATAGCGAATAGATCCACCCGGCAAAGTTCATCGTACTTAGCGAAAGGCCCTGAAACCGCGTAGTGTGATCAGTTTTAGAGCAGCTAGTGTTGTCAATATCCGGTAGTTGGGCACAAGCACTGTGGTATTGAATTGCTCATGGCAGCAAGAGCACCGACCTGTTATGATTTTAGAAAGTATTACGCGCCCCAATTTTTACTCCTCATCGTTATCCTTGTCAGTTCCACCGTCCACTCGACATCACCGCTAATGCAGCGACTATCAGCATCTGCAGGATGATCAGCCTTATTGCCATGACTGTCATCTTGGAAGCTGTGTCATCAACGTCATTCTCTTTACTGTTGCTAACATGTCACTATCATCATCGCGGTCTCTTCTTCAACCTTGTCATTTCCATTATCACGACCATTGGCCTTGAATCTTATGCTGTTGTTTTCCTTACGCTCTCTGGTCTCGTGCTCTCCCTTTGCTCCTACCCGGTACTGCTGTGCGCACCTGGGTTTTCCTTATGCGCACAGGCTTTTGCTTGATGCTTGTGGTCGGCCCACAACCACCCACCAGCCCACCCGCCTGCAAGCCCACCCGAGTCATCATTGTAGCGGACGCGACCTTCAGTATCACCGTCATGCGTAACGGCATCCCGAATGCCCAAGGCTTTAGGCGTCCTCAGGGGTCACATGCTCCCCAGAAGCCGATAACCCCACTCCAACCTTTTCAGGCTCGCCCTTCGGGGATTCGATCCGATGAGCATGTCATCTTCCACCTCGAAATGGTGGACATCGACAAAGCTTAGTCTGAGCTTGCATTTCTTTAGGTTTCAACTTTGGGCTCACCATAAACCATGGGGTGATCTTAACTTGAGCAGGGTCTTCATGCAGCGCGCTATCCGTGTTCGGCCGCTTGTTTTGATACTTGTCGTCGTTGTAGTCGTTTCCGTCTTCGCTGCGTGATGTTTGTTAACAGTATGACTTTCAATTCAAGTTAGTTCTTTCGATGCAAAGATTGGCACGTAGCGAAGCTCATGCCCGAACCCTGCCGTGCAAAGCTTCGGCCCCGCAGGAAAAAGTAGAAAAAGCGCTTATGCTCCTTTCCCCTTCTCTAGGCTAGACCAGGCTTTGAAGGCTTACGTTTCAGTTAAGGGTATTGAAACAGAGAAGAAGATGAATGTTTTTTTTGCAGCAGGCAAGGTCAAAACACACGGATCTAAAAAAGGAGACCCGGTTTACCGATCGCTCCAAGTGAAGGGCAATGCTTCCTTTTGTCGACGCTGTGCTTCCGATAATCAGATTTACAGGCCCCCTGAAGCTTCAATTGCTGGCGCTCGGCCACGTCAAAGCTGAAGCCAAAAGACGCATGCAGGGCTTGACTCCAGAATCCTCGTGCCTCCTCAACTGCAATCTCGACGCAAAGACGGTGGCTGCCCCTGAACCTGGACAACCACCGGCAGACACCCAAGAGAAAGATGGCATCCGTGCAGCACCCAGATTCGTTCAAGGAGTTGTTTCTTTTCATATATAACACTCGTAAGCAAGCCCAAAGCCTCGAACTACTTGTCCTGAGCTGCAAGTCCTGAGGCTTGCAATGTTCCACCAGAGCCCCACGCAGTCACTAGCTTTTTGCCGCCAGCCGCATCCGGCTTCGCAGCTTCCCTGGGGCGGAAGCGGGAGGGATCATGGCGCCGGGCTCCCAGGTCAACATGCGCAACAACTCAATCAGGTCTGAGGCTTGAGGGTCTAGCTTTGGGTTTGTCGCGGCTGTTGTCCCAAGATGGTGAAAGGCTGCAGTGGAGTCGTGGCTGTTTTTTGCTCAGATATTGGGATGATTCACCTGCAACATCACCGGTTTCTGCTGCTGCTTCTTCTGCCGCCACCACCACCACCGCCGCCACCACCACCACCACCACCACCAACGACTACGACCACGACCTCGAGCACCACCACCACCATGACGACGACGAGTACTACTACGACTACTATTACGACTACCACTGCCAAGGCCCCTGCCACTGCCACTACCGCTAGTGCTGCCACTGCCACTACCACTACCATTTCCACTGCTGCTGCTACCACTACCAGGAACACTACAACTACCACTACCACCATCGCTATCACTGTCGTTACTACCACCACTACCACTACCGCTACCCCTACCACTACCACTACTACCACTACCACTATCACTTCCACTACCACTACCGCTACCACCACGACGACAACGAATATTGTCGCTGGCTATTGCTAGTGAGGTTAAGCCAAGATGAACACGTGTACTTGTAACACCAGGACCGCAACCACCATGGAGTAGTCTGGCATGGAGGAGGAGGAAGAGGACCCCGACGACGATGCCGATGCCGACGACAACGGTGGCAGCAGCCGCGACGACGACGGCGCCGACAATAGACAATCATACGTGTTCGGTTGTTATGCGAATGCACTGATGTCTTACTTTTTTTCATGATCTTGGTTCCCTCCTGTTTCACACCAACAGTATTCCTTCTAGCAACCCTTTTAGTAGCCTGTAGTCGCCAATTATAAAGCTACCAGAACCATGCTCCACACTTTGAAGCCGTCAGCCGTGCCCAGGCCAACGGGAGATCCAGTTCGCCTGCCCTCGCTGGGGACTTCCGCCTCTGCGGTGACACTGCCGAAGCAAGGCCAGGCCCAGGCGTTTCAAGGAGGTGGCAGATAGCAGAGTCTTAAAAAGTGATGTGTGGGGGTTCGCAAATTTTTGAGGGTTCTTTTGGCACGGTTTTGCTGAGTCGTTGTCGGATTACCGATTTTCGTCTTATGACTTTAGACTGCGTGTTTTCAGCACTACGATCGGCCTTCAGGCTTGTGTTGGGACACAACATGTTCAGCACTACGATCGGACTACTGCGACCCTGAAGGCTTCAAGCCCCGCAATGTAAGGAACGCTCATCATCCCGCCATGCTCGCCCGCAAAACGGCCCGGAGGTCCAAAGAGACACGGAGCCCGAACCCTGTACGGTAAGCTCCCACATTAGAATCCGTGATGCTCGCAGCCCAAGCCCGAAGCTTTTTAAACCTCCGAAGTTCTTCAAGTCGTGATGAGCCGTTGTTTCTCGAAGCCCCAACCCAGCGTCTATCACTTTCTGAACCTTTGGCAATCCTGGAACCACCGCCAAGCCCGAAGCCTTCTGCATCGGTATTGGCCGCATGTTCAGGTGGATGCGGTGCTTTTAAAGTCTGTGGAAGGAGCAAGCATCAGACCCACAAGCTTTCACAGCAAAGCTAGCTACGCTTCCTGAGCAGGCGATGCGGAAATGCAACGAGCCACGAGCCAGACAGAATTGCGGCCCTTTTGCTGCGCGTTTGGTCGTTCTTGGGGGTTTTGTGGGAGAGTTCGGATGAGTTGAAGGAGCCTGTCAGGGTTTGGGGTTCAGCACCTGCCCGCTGAGTGTGCCAGGGGCCATGGCTTGTCGGGTCTTGGGGTCCAGGGTTCAGGGTTTGTGACGCTGCCTGGCGACAACTTCCAGGTCACAGTCCAAACCAGCCTGGCCCAGCGCGAAGCCCAAGAGCGGGCTCGTGTCCGTCGGGCCCTCGGGTTTCCGCCACGGGCTGTTTGATGCTCGGGCTTTGTCGTCGAGGTTGTTTTTTTTTTTTGGTGGAAAGTTGTTCGAGCGGGGGCGTCGGCGGCGGTGGCGGCCCTTGCGCATTGGTACCTTTATATCTTTGTCGTCTCTAAACTGTACTGTAGTTGGCATGGCCGGTGGTTACACGCCTTAACCGCAACATTTCATGTATGTGTCGTTGTTCGCTTGTTTTTCCCTTTGCATACTTGCATACTGATGGTTGCTCTTGCTTGTTTAACTGCTGTGCTTTTCGGTTGTTGAGGGCTGTTAGCTGCGAGTATTCTTTTTGTTAATTTCGTCCAGTCAGGATTGACAGCTTCGGGGAGCTTAGCCCTGGACCAGGAAGTCACGGCCGCCTAGAGATATAGAGGCTTAGATAGCCCATGTCTTCCCCATATGACCTTGCAGCCCTTGATCCAATCCGAAAGCTTCGACCAACAGCCACAATGGCCATGATCAACCCCGCCCTATTGGGTCATGTCACGGCCGCTGAGCTTTGAGCAACTTGCGCCGCTCCCCCAAACTCCCCTTTCAAGCCTCAGTCTCGCACCGCGGCGACATTCTGTCCTTCTCACCCATCGATACCTCTGCATCGCAAGTCGCGATATCGCGATCTGGATGTTGGGGATGAAACCCCAAGCCCTGCAGCAGCCTCCCAACCCAAACCCCCACACGGCCGCAAACCCCTTACACTTGGAAGAGCACCAGACTTCTCAGACCTTTCCCTGACCCGAAACCCTGAAACCCTACGGCCCCACACCCGTCCCAACCCTTGCGAGGTGAAGTTCCGCGGCGATCATGGGATCTCCTTCGAGGGCACCCGGGTGTCGCACTCGGTGCTGCAGGCTGGGGGCTCGGTCCCTGGCGGTTCGAAAGTTGTGTGGTTTTTCAGGCCTACTCCTGTTCTTGTTTTTTGAGTTCTACCGTTGTCCGGTCTTTGTTTTGGCATGCTTAGGTTCCCGATGCTGCTGCCCCTGCTCCTGCTGCTATTGCTGTTGGTACTATGTTGCCGCTCCGCGAGTTTCTCTTACGATAGGTTTTCGAATAGTGATGTTTGTTGCTATCTTCCCCTCATCACTGAAGTTCTTCATCATGGATGATGTTGTCCTACTTGTTGTCATCTTCTGTTGCGTCGCCATGTGACATTCCACTCCCGTGAGATGCTCGGATGCTAGAGTCGCTGGAGTTTAATGGTAGAAAGCCAGTTGGTACACCTTGCAGAGCATTAGCATGACATGCGGGATGCACCTTGGGTGAGAGACTGGCGTTGAATTGCTGCTGCCGCTGTTTACATCCTCCTCCTCCTCCTCCTCCTGCCACCGCTTCCTGTTGCTACTGCTACTGCTGCTGCTGCTGCTGATGCTGCTGCTGCTATTCATCGACCCGAATCTCCTGAAGAATGAGCAGAGAGATTCGGGACAAGGCGTCTGTCGCAGTGTGTGAAATCCTTCTCAGGGCTCTCGGCTTGTCTCGGCTCAGACGCATGGCCAGCGGACTCAGGAGCAAACTGAGGCAACATGGTCAGACGTAGCAGAACTCACCGCCAAGCCTCAGAATCTTCTCAAGTATACTGGCCCCTACTCAGCCCCTACTCGTCTAACTCCAAAATCCCGACAAGCCTCGCCAAGAACTTTCAGACCCGAGCACCAGAGCCACCAGCCCCTAACCCGGCGTCACGGAGTCTCCGAGCTTAGGGACTTCGCCCAAGCGCTACACGTCCCTTCGAGCCCAGCTCCCCCAGCGACGCCATGAACCTCCTTGTGGGCTCTTACGACAGCGATGACGAGGAGCCTGCACCGCAAGGTGCCGGGCAGTTCGTCAGTGCCGGGAAGACAAGGGTCCATTAAAAAGCTCCTAGAGAAGTGCTGCCCGTCAGATGAGGCATCATGAACATATTAATGCCGTCTTGGAGTTCAACCTGTACTAGATGACTACATGTTTGCTGTTGCCTTGGGAAGTCAGACCTCTGCAGTTGCAATGATTCTTGATGTGATGATGCCGACAACTTTGAGAGACCTCCGAAAATTGGAACCATGCAGTGGAGTATGCCGGAATCAAGAAAGCGTTCGAGGACTTCACAACGCCACGACCTAAACTGACCTAAGCCCTAAACCTTGAAGCCTGCAACCTCGCTTGCGCGCATAGTTCCTTAGCCATGCGAGAGGGAAAAGAAGCCTGCAACGCAGACATCCTCGGACCAT